TTTATAGAATCTTTTTTAACCTGAGCATATTACTTTTGCAAAGTGAGTCCCAACTAGGGATACTTGTACCCGTGGGAAAAGAGAAATACAAATGAACAACAGCTACGATGTATAGTGTGTCAAATGTAGTTAGCAAGCTAGCAGAGCAATCTAAACAGTTAGCTTAAAGTAATTGATAGACTGTCGGAAAAGCTTGCTAAATATAACCTTTACATTCTTAAAATTCATTGCATTTAATGCATCGGATAAAAAAGCTAAAGTTTGAAGCATCTGAAAAAGAGTTTAAATTGTTAATGTTGTCAAATGGAACTGTTGAAAGAGCTAACATTAAGCATACCAGATAAATGGTGGATATGGAAACATCATGTAATAGATGCAAAGTTAAAATGGTTATTTAGAAGCAAAAAAACTGTTTTAACAGTTAGCATTACATATCATAAACGGTTGCAATTACAACTTTCTTCTATTCAAAGTGGTGTGTTAGTACACCTGAATATGTTTAATTTATGACAAATATTGCTTTATATATTTAATAACATAAAATCTAGTTCAAAACCAATTAAAATGACTATGTATTGTTAATGAAGGTGCATTCGAGTTCATCAACTTTGGGGGTACTTTAGAAAAAAAAGATTGGGGACCTGTGCTCTAACATGCGTATGATTTTCTGATTGCATCTGTTTGACCACTACTGATGCAGAAGGCAAGGCAAGGCCAGGCAAGGCCAGGCAAGGCAAGTTTATTTATATAGCACCTTTCAACACAAGGCAATTCAAAGTGCTTTACAAAAAATGAAAGACATTAAGAAAACGGCATTTAAAATCAGTCATTAAAAAGAAATGATAATAAAATAAACATAAAAAAAAAAAAAGAAGAACTACAGAGCGCCTTGTCCCTCCCCTCAAGTAGCGTTCATGTGTGTCTCCCCCCGGATGTATCTCAAATGTAGCATGACAACCTGTCATGTTTGGCTTTACGCGCCTGCAGCTAAACAGAAGGGTTCATTCCCCATCACTGATCAACAGCGAGCGTGCGAGCGTTCTCTTGTTGAAAGAGTTTGCAGCTACATGTCAACACAAAGTGGTAGCATGTGTGGATATTAGGGCATCGGCATGCATGTGTTGAGTAAATGAGTTCATGTGTGTGTGTGTGTGTGTGTGTGTGTGTGTGTGTGTGTGTGTGTGTGTGTGTGTGTGTGTGTGTGTGTGTGTGTGTGTGTGTGTGTGTGTGTTTGACCATACTGTGGCTGAGGGCTTACATGTCTCGTACACTGGGATAAAGGCAGTGGTGCAGTGATGAGCGCCTAATCCGAGTGCATGTGATCGGCCCGGCGAGGCTGGAGAGATAGGAGCGTTTGACTTGTTAAAAGGGATGTTCTTCACTAAGAGCCTCGTTGGCCCTGACATAACTGGGACATAGTTCCCCTTGTCAAAACTAATAATCAATTCCAACTATAGGGGTAATCTGACAGCGGACCCCTGCTGAGCATGACACCTCGAAGCTGTCGTCACATCCCCATATATTAATAACAACCCAAACAGTTGCCAATAGCAGCTGCATTAACCCAACAAGGCCCTCATTCACGAGGTAAACACTCGACAATGGGACTGATCCTTAATGTGGGCTTTGATGTTAGCGTTTGAAGCTAATGACCGATAATACAGCGCGAGATTGAGACTGATTTGGTCAAAGATAGAGTGCTCATTCCTCCAGGCCGTGTCAAACCAAATGACCTCTGAAGATACACTTTTGATTTCTTCTATCAGAGCACAGGCAACTCTTTATATTCCTTTCTCTTTTGTGGGAACATAACCTGTGTTTGTTATGGGGGCAGCAGGTGTCCCCCAAGGGGGCGGAGAGATGAGCTGGGCTGCGGCATCGTTCCTCATCTGGACGGAACATTAATAACGCCGGGACCTGGGGAGAGAGCTCCATCTGGGCCAGACCGGTGCACTGCTGAGGGGAAGAGACCACTGACTCCACAAGTCTATAATCCCTCACAGAGCGCGGCTAGCGGGGCCTATCTGATAAACACATGCAACTTTATATGTTTCTTAGATAATCTAAACCCCCCCCACATATGTCCATCTTTTTCCCGCACACATGAAAAAAGATCCTTTAATCAAACGCCGTGTTTTCAAAGTGCGACACTTCCGACTACAGATGAGTTCTTATGAATAATCACGCAATCATTTCGTCTGCCCTTCAGCCCCTATCCCGTAGTGGTTTCGGTGTTAAATAAATAACAGCCTGATTCACTTTCAAGCAGATGAAAATTATCCAGGAGAAGAGGCAAAGGGCCTTAACTAAAGGAATCACATTTTCAAGAGGTCAGGCTCTTTTTACTATTTCAGTGTGGTGCAACGCTGCTCAATACTGTAGCGTGCTGTTCAGTGGCTTGTCGTTTCCATTCTTATCACCACTCCATCTATAAGTGCTAGTTAATCGATAAACAAACAGCAAGGACTCTCTTGCTGCAGGAGCCCGAAGCATGGAGGCATGAAGTGTTAACAACATCTCCTACTTCTCCACCTACAGGCCTCCGTCCACGTAATTTCTATTTGTATATGTTTGTCCCACTTTTACAGTTAACTTTTTCTATCACGTGAATTTCCTCTGTGGTTAGGTCAAGAGAAATCTCTCAGTTTGCGGTTTTATCTTAAAGGTCCCCTATTATACTGTTTTTCATCAATATATTATAGTTCTCCGATATATACAAAACATGTCTCTGAAGTGTTTGGCTCGAAATACCAAACAGATCATGCATTGCAGCATTACCCATAATCCTCTCTGTTTCAGCCCTGTTTCAAAAGTCTGTTACTTTAGATGAAAATAAGGAGCCACTCCCCACGCCCCTCTGAGAGAGATTTGGTTAAAAAGAACACAATGGTGCTCTAGGAGGAGATTCAGGTGATAAGGTGGGGGGGGGGGGGGGGGGGGTTACCTTGGTTGGTGATTGGCTAATAGTTACACAAGCAAACACATCGTTATGACATCATAAAGTGGCCAACATCTGATCAGCTGATTTTCAGACAGGTTTTTATAGAAATGGATCAGGACAAAAAGTGAGGGAATCTTTTTTCCTGAAACTTTCAGAGTCTCTTTACACAGAGGGGACACATGCTGATGTAGAAAACATATGAACAAGTGGATTTTGCATAATAGGTGACCTTTAATGCCATGTCTAGTAAAAAAAGACACGATCTGAGTAAATATAAAAGAGTGCAAAGTATTTTCTCTGTGAAATAGACAGTCTGGTTGCCTGCCTTTCTGAACAAGGACACCACAGTCTAAGTCTCAAGGTCAGAGCTCTGTAAATGTTTCATTCAGCAGATGTGTCAAACCACAGGGAAACACACATTCAAACCTTGACAAAAAGTCACAAGGACTAAAAATGTTGCTGCTCACCCAGAGGTTTTATACAGTTTCAGGTATTTCCTTATCAGACAGAGAGAAAGTTTTTGTGTCATCCTTGACTCATATCTAATTTATATTCTAGGGTTTTCTTGAGTGTCAGCTGTGGCTAACCAACCCTGAGAAGCCCACTGAGCAGGCCTGTCTGGCCCTTCATGTAACACCCCTCGTAATGAAGATATTTTGGTGTCATATCTTGGCGAGAGGGCAGCTGGAGAGATGACTTTGATCTCTGCTGAAGGTGTGGGTGTAAAGATTGAGATTGAAGAGCACTACATTAGCTTCCCGGAGTGAAGGGGCATCACAGTTCTGTCTCAGCAGACTTGTGACTTTCTGTCGACTTTTTTTTTTTTTTCTTCCCATGGAGCTGCCTCTGCCTGATTGTTTTTCTCAGCTGAGGTAATTCAGGTGCACTAGCCTGGAGCTTGCCTGACTTGTGTTTATTAGTTATTCATTTCCATCAGCCTGAGCTGCCTTAGGCGATGTGATCTGCAACGTGCTCCCTGCTCAGGTGCTCAACCCCCCCACTGGATCATCCCTTATCTCCCATGATGCCCAGCAGCACGGCACTTGTGGGCTCGTAATGGTTGAATGTATTTTTATTTAAAAAATCTAGCAGCAAAGGAAGTGTTATGCTTTGGGTGTTTTCAAGGTGTTTATTAAAGCATGTTCAGAATAAGTATTTCTGAAAATTATTCATTTAAGCCTTATGCAAGTCTCCCCTTGCAACCATATTCTGTTTTTAAAATGTCATGTTTACGAAGCACATGCCATTGAAACAGCTGCAGTCTGAATGAGCCACTAAGGAACCGATTATGTAATAGTTCAATAATGCATTCATTATCAAAGCAATACTATAATTAATTCAATTCAGCAGACATTTTTAGTAACCTCCAGTGTGCTTACATGGAAAACCTCTCAGGCTTTTTTTGTCTCATATAAATGTTGAAGACTTCTTGGAATATTCCTAAAATGTAATCCTGATTTATTATAATTTAATTACATATTAAATGACTGATATTTAGTTGTTTATTGCAGTATACATTTGAGTACTAGATAAGACATTTTCCTATTTAGTATCATAAAAGAGTGCTATTTATTGGTGTTCTTCTTTGGTTTATTTGATTAATTTGACATTTTTTTAATACCAGAACTATGTGGTGTTTTTCTTTAAAACAACAAAACCACCGTAGAAAAACTATGGAGGAGAAAAATGTACCCTGGATTACGTTAAACTACAATTCTTAAGAGCTAGGAACATACTGTGTCCTTATTCCATACTTTACACTATATTATATATTAAAGTAACTAAAAAGATGAATATTTATTGCAAGTCTGTGTAAAGAGTCATACCAGTCTCCTGCATGAAACGTGGGTAACACATCCTAAAACCACCTCAAATACTGTTACTTTATCCCTTTTAAAATACTAAATCCAGTAATCCTGAATGTTATAGGACAAGTTTAATGTCATTTTTACATAATTCCAAATTAAGCTGGGCTGGGTACAACAGGTTTCCACACAGGAGCCACAGTAACAAATAATGAGCTGCAGGACAATATTAAAAACATATAAGCGTTCCTCACCATCCACACAGGAAGGTTTGTTGCGTGTCGTCCCGGCAACCTTCCCCGGTAAACAGGAGCACTTGACTGTCTGAGAACGCTCCTCAATGCGATTCTTGTTACAGCATCGGTGGGCAGCAATCACCTCACACGTACCTCCCTCTGCGGATAAACAGACAAAGACACACACGGTTATTACATGTGAGACAATAATGTGAGAGGAAACATGTCACTGAAAATGACATATGGCAAAAACAATGCTCCTGTAACAATTCAAATAAACAACAATTATGTGAGCGAAAGAGAGGTTTAGGGAACCTCCACTACCCCAACCTCATCATATCATTAGCGGCACACTGCAGTACAATCATTGAGCACTTGCACTGTAAGTGTGTGTAACAAATTGGCCCTCGAGGCATCTCAATTATGTCACCTAATTGCCTCTCATTCAGTGTTGGCTGTACTCATTCCATACCAATCAGCCTATGGTGAAGATCACACCATGTGCCGGCCTTTGCACCCTTAATATTCGCCATATGTTGTCAATATGATTAAAAAGTGATGCACTGTTGTTAACACTTCTTCAGGAAAGACCTGGCAGTCATAGGCCTCAGCCATATTCTAAGATGTCTAACTCAATAAGCCAATGCATTCTTAGGCCATACAGTACCACACTGAAGCATTAGCTCCAAAGCATAGGTGACATCAGACGGAGCAAATGCTGTACAAAAGGTCCCGCTGTGACAAAAGAGGATGTCAAAAGGATTCTGTGAAAAGAGAAGGAGATGCGCCAATGGCGGTATTGGGTCAAAAATAACAATAGGGTGGATAGCCCACGGGAGGGCGAGGGGGTGATGGAGAGGAGGGACATCCAGAAATGAGTGAGACCGGCAGGGTGAGAGAGAGCTAGAGGACAAGGTGTGTCTGGCTGCCAGGGACCGGCCATGCCAGTGAGTAATGAGGGGGCGCCTGGAAGTGCCCCCTTCACACAATTATAAAGCGTGAGGGTAATGCAGCCAGCGGAGCTGCGGCAGAGAGGCCTTCCATCACCGCTCTCCCCTTTCCTTACGCCCCAGGAAAAACTCTTTATCTTCCCTTGACAGCCACCGCAACAGACACCAGCGTCCAACAATTAAACTGGGGTTCATCTCTGGACAGAGGAGAGGAGAGGAGAGGAGAGGGGAGGAGAGGAGGGAAGGAGAGGAGAGGGGAGGGAAGGAGAGGAGAGGGGAGGAGAGGAGAGGAGAGAAGAGAAGAGAAGAGGAGAGGAGTGGAGAGGAGAGGAGAGGAGAGGGGGA